CTCTGTGCTGACAGCTCAGAGCCTGAAGCCTGGTTCAGATTCTGTGTCTCCCTCTCTCTGACCCTCCCCCGTTCATGCTCTGTCTCTCTCTGTCTCAAAAATAAATAAACGTTAAAAAAAAAATTAAAAAAAAAAAAGTTGTACAGGGAGGGAAAGTGTTAATTTACTACAAGGTTTAGCTCTGCACAGCATTTATATAGTCATGATAATAAAAACACGTAATGTAAAAATTATTGCTCTAACCAGAACTACACATGTAGCAAGGAATTCTACATGTGAAGGATGCCACAAGAGCAAGAGGATGAAAGAAATAAACACTCATGCTACATAACATGAATCCAAGAGGTGGGTAAAGACTTAGAAGATAAAACTGGGGGATGGGGAGAATTATTAAACATGCATCCAAATTCACAGACACTAAACATTCATTCCACTCACTTGGGAAAATATTTGGCATGATCTTCTAATGGGTCATCACCTTCCTTCCAGTTCTCCATACATCCTCCGCAGAAGAAACACTGGACGATGTCCTTCGTGCCTAAAAGTAAGGAAATTCCATCCACTTGTATGTGCATTTGTCAACTGTCACAGATAACAATCACGAAGCCTTTATGAGCAAAACGCTCTTCCCATTTCCAATCGGATTTTGCGACAGAGTCACAGTTGGGGTCACCAGCAAGGTGATATTCTATGTAGGACTCTTCTCTTGGCCAACAGAGTAATCAACTAACGAACCAAATGCTCCTAAGGTACCAGGCACTTTGATGAACACCCTCTCCCTGTCCCATCCTCCTTTAATGGAGAGAGAGATTTGCAAATCAGAATGTGGAATTATAGCTCCTCGAAGCAAGAGATTTTTGTCCGTTTTGCTCACTCATGAAGCTCACTGACCTAGAAAAATACCTAGCACTTCTTATTAAACACTCAATAAGTATTTGTTTAAGGAATAGGACAGAAAGAATGTATTTGGAGCTCAAGGCGAAAAATCTTTGAGGAAATGTAGCAGCCCGTATATAAGTAAATTCATGAAGAATCAAGTGCCTCTTACTACATGATTCCCTGGTTTATTTCACTACAAGCAGCATCAAGTCGCCTTATGAGATTATTTCTCTGAAAGGAAATTAGTATTAGAACCCACCAAATGATTGAAATAGAAATGGAACATCCATCATCTTCTTTCTACTCTTGGACCCTTGTAGGCACCGCAAAGCTAGGGCAGAAGAAAACCCCCCCTTTGTATCTGGACAAAACTACAAGGTCTTAGAGATTGCAAAATCCTAAAAGGGTCAGAGGACTCAGATTTGTGGAGAGAGCTGGAGGTTTGAAAAGCAAGAGGGTGAGGACACTGGGCAGAGGATCTTTGAGGACACTGGCAAGAGAAAGAATAGAGTATGGAGAAAGCGGGGCTGGGTGGGGGCGGGGGGGGAATGTCTTTTTAAATGCTTAAGAATGTGAGGCATTAAGATTTTTCTGTACTAGGCACCTGGGTGGCTCAGTCGATTGAGCCTCTGTTCCACTCAGGTCATGATCTCACTGTTCACGAGTTCGAGCCCCACGTCAGGCTCAGGGCCGACAGCTCAGACACTGGAGCCTGCTTCAGATTCTGTGTCTCCCACTTTCTCAAAAATAAATAATTTTTTTTTAATGTGCAATCTTAAAAAAATTTTTTTTGTACCAATGGAATAGGTCTGCTAAAGTGACCATAGCATTCCCGTACCCCACAGCGCCCTGTGATATTTCTGATACCTACTTAACTGCTCAGCACGAGATCTGCATGGACCTCTGCTATCATCACTCCATGTGTGTGTTTGGTCTAAAGAAGGACAGCAAGGGGCGCCTGGCTGGCTCAGTTGGTAGAGCCTGCACCTCGTGTTGTGAGTTCAAGCCCCACATTGGGCCTAGAGGTCACTTAAAAAAAAAAAAAAGGCAATGGCCAGCAAGATACCTAGGAAGGGCACACTATCTTTTCTCTGATCACCTTGCTGTACTCATACAGATATTTTGCTGAGGAAAACCAACCCACTCTGGATTACAGAGTGGAGCTGCCTGAGGACCAACAACTAAACAGAGAACATTACCAACTGACAGAAGATGCTACATGGTCGGAAATCATGAAGAAGAACTTCCTGGGAGAGCCTAGGTGGCTCAGTCGGAAGAATATGTGACTCATGCTTGTGGGGTGGTGAGGTTGAGCCCCATGTTGGGTGTAGAGATGACTAAAAAAATCAACTTTAATTAAAAAAAAAAACTTACCTAAAACACAAGAATTTCCTGATGTTCTCTTCCAAATAGAGTATGGCAAAGGCTGCTATCCACACTCCCAGTATCTCTCTTTCTTCCATGGTAACAGAAACCCCCCTTTTTGCTAGTCATCCAGGAAAAAGAACGAACGTCCTAGCTCCTTTTATAGGTAGGTATGGCCACATGACTACTAAATTCAGTTTACAGAGATAGAAGCAGAAGGGAAGTACAAAGGTCATGTGACAGTTTCCAGGGAAGCCAAGGTTGGTAGGGGGTGAGGGTTGGAGAATAATGCATAGAAAGTAAAAGGCATTGTAGGAGCACCTGGGCGGCTCAGTCACTTAAGCATCCGACTCTTGGTTTCGGCTCAGGTCATGATCTCATGGTTCACGGTTCAAGCCCCATGTTGGGCTCTGCACTAACAGTGTAGAGCCTGCTTGAGATTCTCTCTCTCCCTCTCTCTCTCTGCCCCTCTCCTGTGAGCGCTCTCTCTCTCTCAAAATAATAAACATTTAAAAAAGAAAAGCAGAGACTGTTGAGTCTAGATAAACACAAGTCCAGGACCATAAGGTATAAATGGAGTTTAAGTGGACATAAGAAAGAGCAAGACCAGAGCTTGGCAGAAACTAGCGACTCACCTGTATAGAGAAGACCTGCTCTGACCAGAGCTGAAACTCCTGCAGGGAATGCATGGGGCCAGCTCTTAAAAGAATCCAGTCGTAGTCCTTCATTAGCAAAGATGCTGTCATTGCAATATGCTTGAAAAAAAAGGCATACGGGGAGATCAGCAAGCTTTGAGATTCCAACTATCAGTGTTCAAATTACCCCTTTGTATCTAGAGATGGAATATGGATGCATTGTGTTTTGCTTCAGTGTAATTGGAGGAGGGGTTGGAAAAGATGGAATAGTTACGATGAAGCAAGACTGACCACATGTCGAAGCGCTGAAGCACTGGTAGATATGTGGTGGCTAAATACTACCGTCTCATTTCTGCGTAGGTTCAAATTTTTGGATAATAAAACATTTCAAAAGGATCTCTTCGTCATCTACTGATGAAGTTTTGGGGTGATGGCGGGGGGGTCCAGAACCGATGGCCAAAAAAGGATTCTTGAAGGCACCTTTGGTGCAAAAAGGTGATTTCATTAAAATACGGGGACAGGACCCATGGGCAGGAAGAGCTTCATGGGGTCGTGAGGGGTAACTCATTATATACCGTCATGTTAGGAGGGGGTCAGGGATAGACTAAATCTCTAAGGTATTTTGAAAGCAAGATTTTCAGGACCTTGAGGAGCTAGCTGTTGCTAGGGAAATGCCAGTTATTAATATTTAATAAAACCTCAGTCACGAGACCCTGCAGATGCGTATCAGGGGGGCCATAAGCTTGGAGGATGAATGCCAGCATACATCTTGGGGCAGTTGAGGTAAAGGAAGTAGACTTACAGGATCCTCGAGATTGAGATAATGTTAGACTAAGATTCCCTTTTGCCCCCAGCAAAGTGTCATCATCAGACAGCTGAGCTCCGAGGAGGTCAGTCTGCCGGTTTCAAGGACTTGTCAGTGGGCTGTAGGCAGTAAGGGAACTCAATTTTTCATTTGCCTTAGTTTCCCACATCACCATGGCAAGCATTTATACCCCTTTCGTCTGTCCTCTAACATAACTAACCTATGTTAATTTGGTTCTGCGTGTTTAAGATGAAAGCTTGCCTTGGTGTT